AATGGAAGCATTCCATGTTCCTAACCACAAATTATATTTAAATTATACAATTATAGTTGCAACTCAGGACTAGTTAGGCACATCTGGACCTGGTTTCACTTTAACTTCCATTATTTAGATCACCCATACTCATATTAATTAATGTGACACAACAGTAAGAAAATCAATGCAGATGAGTGTATATGCTGGTAAATCATGCTTATGAGCACCATATAAATTACTGGCAGTTGCTAAATCACATTTAAAAACTCAATAGGTTTAACTACACGAACACTACAGGAGACAAGTCTAAAATTGCTTGAATGAAAATTACATACACTGTGGAGAAGGGTGTAATCATAACATAATATAAGCCTAGAGGCTATATTTAATATTAACGTTTTGATAGAATGAGAAAACTTAAATATAGGCTAACTAATTAGTGGTGCTAGATTACAGTTCGTACATTAAATTGCTAGTACATCTAGATCTAACAGTAATGTTAGACCTGTTATTTCCATCTTTTTAGTCTCAGGTTTGAATCTGGACATAATAATAATGACAGAAATTTAGCTTTATACATCTAAACTAGACCTTACATTTGGGTGCATAGATTGAAAGCACCTTGTTTTGAATCTAACCAGATCCAGATATAACCCTGCATCATCAATTCTAGATTTAGATTTAGTAGGCCAAACTTTTAGAACAAATGTTACATCTAGATCTATTAACTTAGTCATTAGATCTGTCCCAGTGCAATGCCTAGTTTGATAATTAGTACAGGTCTAAGTATACCTATAATATAGGCTACAATTTGTATGATGATGGACCTACGGTCGAGAAATAGTTATAATTGCAATTAGACCTAAAGTCGAGTACATTAGTTGCTGTAAGACATGATTTACAATTAGCCAATACAATTACAAACCACTACATTAGGCCTATAATGTTTACTAGATCTAGATCTAGGCCTTACCTGTTCAATCTTGTATTTTCTTTTTGTTGAACATACACTTCCTTGTACGTTGTACTCTAGGACTTGTATTTGATCTACAGATGAATGATGGAATAGTGTAATTTACTTCCGTACATCATTTTGGTCTCACTCTATTTCAGTGTGCGGCTTTTAAAAGTTAAAATTGCAAGCATAATACACACAAATAACATAACACTGTGTCGTATTTACTTTACGTAGGGCAGTTGTGCTATATCCTAGGGGAGGGCATAATTATTGATTAATAGGCATTATAGACCAGAGGAAATTTTTTGCCCCTTCACACCTGTGCCTGGGGCAACTACCCCCTTGCTCCCCCTCTTGCTATGCCACTGCTACCAGGTAACAACCCAGCCCTACTTTCCAAATGAGGGTTATGTCCACTTGATCTTGTACCAGTGGAATTACACCATCCAATGAGGAACTCTCCATATTGTCTTTCCCAGCAGCTAAAAACTGGAGAAGTAAGGATTCTCCCCTACTCCATTAAAAGAAATAGGAGGGGGGGGGGGGCTGGAGAGGTGATTGGACTGTGTCATCATGCACAATCTTCTTGTGCAATGGGTTAACATGACTAAAGATAGTAGGGACGAACCAGGTGTGAGAGCAGGAATATATCTGGTGCTGTCATTTTTTTCACAAGTCCAGAACATTCTGGAAGGTAAAGTATATAAACATAACAGAAGCAGCCTTGCAGAAAACTCCATCTCAATAGTGGACAGAAGCAGATGCGCTTAACAATATCCATACTCCCTATACTCAATGAAGATTTTGGGAAAGTATTCCCTCTGAGGCAGAACCAGCCACTTGGAGGATTCCAACATTTCCATAATACAGATATATATAAACATGTTGAATAGGGTGGTTATAAGATCTGAAAAATAAATGAAAAAAATAAACAACTTACCATTAGAAGAGCCACTTAGATAAGTGGAGAATGGTAACTGGAGGAGCCAAAAGCCAGGGTAGGTAAAACCTCCCTGTGGCATAAAGAATGTTATACTAGTAGTGTGTCAGAAGTCTTCCACATCCCCACCAGCAAGATCTCATACAGGGAACATCAATGGCTAGAAACAAGAAAAGCTGAGAGTTCACAACCACAGAGACAAAGAAATAAGCAAATAGTCATCATTCACAAAAGAAGAAATTAGCCAAGTGGGAGTATATAACCCAATCAAACAAATTAGAAAGACATAAGTAACGAGAAGAGAAATCCCATGGTAAGAAGAGATGTCAGCAAAAGCCCTCAAATGGGGGAAGTATGAGTGAGACTAGGAAGATACCCTACAGAAAAATGAGATGAACTGGGTCAGAACAATCATACAGGGAAGAAAGAAAAGATGGATGGAGAAAACAACTAATCACCTTCTCAAGTCACCCAAATATAGGGAAGGAA